CGTGGTTACTGCAGGTCCTGAGGGCGATGACACCAGGTGCTGGTGGTGACTCAGCTCCTTGCTGGCTGTGCCCAGAAGGATGCTCCAGTGGGGGGATGGAGTGGGGGTCGGAGACAACTTCCTGAAGGAGTGTGAGCAGCCCCAGCTGGGTGCCCATGTCCTCAATGAAGGTGGAAGAATGGTCAGGAGTGGGGCAGGTGGCTAGGGGTTGGTGGAGTCAGAGGAGGCATGTTGGAGTCTAGCACGGAGAGAGGGGTCTTCACCCTGAGAATGGTCCTGGCGGGGCTCACATACATTATCTCATTTAACCCTCCCACCCGTTCCAGAACGTCCGCTTAGAAGATGGAGATACAGAAGCCAGAGAAGTAGAATAACTTGCCCAGTCACACAGCTAATAAGCAGTAGAGCCAAAATTGAGACCTAGATCAGTCCAGCTCCAGGACCTGTATTCCTAACCCGTCTGTTCTGCCCCTGCCCTTGGCCAGAGGCTCACGTGGAACAGGTCATATCTCGTATGTCCCATGGGGGTTGAGCATAGGGCAATAAAGATCTGTGGAACCGAACCATTTGGACCAGTGCTAGCAGGCCTCGAATGCCACACTGGCCTCAGAAGACCCTGGTGGCGAGGCTAGGATTAGCACCCTGGTCAGTCTGTCCCCCCCACCCCCACCCCCGCTGGTGCTTGCTGACGAGGAGCAACAGGGAATTGCATATGCTACCTGCTGACAAGGCATGGTAAGAGGGGGGACAGTGGACACCGCCCCCCGGCCGCATTCCCATTGCTCACTGTTGAAATGCAGCAGGGCCTTGGGGGTGACGGGGGTGGCCGTGAGCACCAACATCTCCAGTCCCTTCAGGCCTTCCCGGCAGACCTCAGCTGCCACCTCCTGGGTGATCTCCGACACATGGTCCAGCTCCAGGACCTGCAGCCGCATGCAGTTTCTTGCTAGGAAGAGGAGAAGAGGGGAGGTCCTGCTGACAAACTCCGCAGGTCGCCTCCGGCCCGGTGCCTCTGTGCTCCTGCCACCACCCAGGCCGCAGCCCCAAGCCCCTCTGGGATTCCGGTGTCGCACCCACGCCTGCTTCCCACCACCCTCCGCCCCAGTCCCAAGGAAAGACTCACCAAGTGACGCCAGGCCCTGCACCCCACAGCCAGCACCCCCAACCCCCAGGGCCCGAAGGTGCGGCCAACAGCGACCAATCATCTGCAGGCAGCGGTTACTGAAGCGCGTGGGCTGCTGGCTGGAGAATGGGGCAGAGAGAGGGCTGTCAAGGAAGCTTCTGGTTGCACGGCACCCCGAGCCTGCTCCTCTTTCATGACCCTTGCTCAGGCTGGGGCCCCACCAACCACCCAGCTGCTCAAGTTAGAAACCTGGGATAATCCCTGACCCTTCCTTACCTCCTGCCGAGACCTACAGATTCTGATTCCTGAGTAACTTCAAAGCACAGTTCAGTTCGCACCACCATCCATATTCATGTGGATTCATCTAGTCTCTCTGCCAATTCATCCGGCACGCTGCTGACAGCGAGCCACTCGTTCTATGTTCTCTCACTCAGTCATTCAACAAATGGGCCTCAAGTGTCTATAGAGCCAAGAATAACCGAGCTGGGCCCTGGGGATACAGTGGTGACAGTATAGACCTGGTCCGTGCCCTCAACGAGGGGGGCGGGGGAGGACACAGAACACAACCAGTCTGATGTGATCCTGTCTTTAAGATCAGAAATAGTGCAAAAGCTTCCCGAGCACTCCTAGGTAAAATGCAAAAATCTAACCCCTTTATGCAAGACCTTCCTAACCTTGCCCCCACCTTCCTGTCCACACTCATTGCTCCGCCCTGCCCACCACTCACACCAACCCGGCCATTTCCCTGAACACCTCGCTCCTCAACATTCGCCCAGGCGGTGGGTTCCCTGGTGTCTGCCACGCACCTGGTACCAGGGATATGGGAACGGACATTCACAGCCCCGACCTGGAGAACTGCGAGTACCGCGGAGACTCAGAGAGAGATTATTGCAAAACAAACTACAGCAGGGGTCAAGCCGAGGCACCACAGGAATGGGGGCAGGGGAGCAGGGACGGATTCCTCCAGGGGGCAGGGAAGGACATGGGATGCCCTGAGAGGAGCTGTCGTGCGGAGAGAGGGCTTGGAGGACAGAGTGCAGGGACAAAGAAGTCTGGTTTGAGGAACACCAAGTCGTGAATGAATGATCTGGATTCTCCGACAACCAGCTCTTTTGTGTATGCTACATCGACCTCCCTGAACGGCCTTTCATGTGCCAAACGAACGTGGCTATTTCTAACTAGTGTTGACTGAACACTTATATATACTCTTTATAGACACATCTCATCTGAGCCAGCTACGGTCCCGCTAAGGCTGAAAGATCTCGAATATCACCTTCACTTTGCAGTAGAGAAACTGAGGCATGACTGGATTGCCCTCCGTCACACTGCCAGTGAGCCAGGACGTCACCCCAGGCCTGATTTTGAAGCTCTGCTCCCAACAGCTAAATACACAGACTGATGAATGTGAATCTGTCTCCCCAGCCAGCTTTTGGAATGGCCCAGATCTGCTCAGTCCTCAGCCAGCCCCGGCTCAACCCCCTGCCCCTCCCAACCCCTGCTGGGGCTCACCAAGGGTGAAGTGGCGCCACCTGGAGGGAGACAATCTCTCTGCAGCCTGCGCCCAGGGCCCAAATGACCTCATGGCCCACGGGGTCTGTGGCGCTCCTGTTGAAAAGACAGAGCTGGGACCGCCCACCCTGGTGGCTTCTGCTCCCTGCCCTTGGACCAGAGGACTCTCCGGTCCCCTTGCATGAAAGCCCTGGGGGAAGAGTATGCAGACCCCAGGGACCCGCTCGGCCAGAGGTCCGAAGGGTGTGGACTACCTGTAGGTGACGGCCTGCAGGGCGCGGCAGTAGCAGCTGGCCAGCCAGAGGGAGCGGTCAGTGAGGATGTTGGGACAGTGGGAGATGCGCAGGATCAGCAGATTCCCCCCCGCCGCCTTCAACAGGGACTCCAGCCCCGCCTCCAGGCAGCCCCTGGGGATGGCCAAGAGGTCAGGGCACCGCTTGTGGCCACTCCTTCCCCGGGGAAGCACCGCCCCCCCAAAACTCCAGGTGTGCACGCAGTAACCCCCCCCCCCCCGCCCACCCACCACCGCCTCACCGGGTGCTCCGCGCGTACTCTTCCTTGCTCTCCTTCTTGCCCCGCTGCCGGGGCTTCAAGTTCTGCAGGGTCAGCGAGTGCGCCTGGGTGCACCACTGAGCCAGCATGGCCAGGAACTGCAGGGAGAGAGGGGTTGCCTGCCGATGAAGGGGCCCGAGCTTGGCTGCCTGGAGGGAGACCCCATGAGAGCATTTGGGGGAGCGAGGCTGAAGCTAGGGTGCTGGAAGGGTCGCAAGGGCCAGACCTCGAGGGCCCAGATTCTGCTGGGAGAAAGGTGGGTTCACAGCAGGGGCGGTGGGCGGGGACAGGCACCTTGGAACAGACGCGGGCGTTCTCGAGCAGCACCCGTGTCCAGACCGCGGGGTGGCGAGCCACGAAGCGCCAGTCTCGGCAGACCTCGGCCGCGTGCAGCAGCGTGCGCGTGTCCAGGTAGGTGAAGATGCAGAACAGGGCGGCTCGCATCTTGAGGATCTCCGGGCTGATGACCTCGTTGGAGCGGGAGGGGCTGCCCCTCTCCGCTCGCCGACCCCGCCCACTGCCTCCCTCAGGGCGGGCTGCACGGTACCAGAGGGTCAGAGATCAGTGTGGAGGGTCAAAGGCCAATGTGGGGGTGTGGGTGGGGAGGTGGGGTGGGGTAGGAGCTACAGAAGGGACAAGCATGAAAGACCCATGCTGGGGGACTGGTGACTTGGGAGGAAGGCAAGGGGCCTCTGCTTCCCCCTCCTCTGCACACCCCATCTCTAATAATACACATTAGGAAAAGGTGTGGCTTCCTCAAGTAAACTGTCTTTTTAAGATCATACATCCTCACATTGTTCAAACTCAGCCCCTAGGCAAAGCAACTGAGTCAAGTCTAGGAAAGGCAAGGGTTTGGAGAGTGAGGGTACAGATGGACAGAAACCCAGCCTCTGTGAACAGAAGGCCAGGGCGAGGCTGCCCAGAACAGTCACTCAAGAGCAGCCATGCACCCGACCTGAGCCCTCTAACCTCCTGACCCTGACCCTGACCCTGACCCACCCACATATGCACATGGCCTTGTGCATATATAGAAGGGGGCTCTCCCTGCTGTTCCAGGGACTTCAGTCTGCAGTTAACACTCAGCTACTCTCCCGTAAATGTCAACAACGAGCCATGTGAATGGACCCCCTGAGATGTGGCATCCTTGTGCAGTCCCCAACATGAGCACCCCTGTGCTGCTGCACTGCTCTGTCTCATGAGTTCCTTGCCCAGGCTCCCAGGGCACTTGTAGGAGAGTTTGTCATCCTCATTGCAGGAAGTCTGGGACAAGGGGAAACACGTGCGGGAGCCCAAGAGATCTACTGCCTCAGCCCTGTGTCCCCTTAGAGGGCCCAGCGCCAAAGAAAGACTGGCCCCTCTGGCCTACCCTTCCAGGACTCACCTGAGAGCCGGCAGCTGCTCAGTGGCCCAGCCAGAGCAGGCCCAGGACGGGGGGCATCTGAGGGGCCCTCAGCCTCTGACTCCGTGGTTCGGGAGCCCACATCCGAGACATCACCCTCCTCCCCCTCCGTGCTGTGTCGGCGGGGTCTGCGCTGCCAGTTCTGGATGGCCTGGCGCCGCAGGCCTGAGCTGCGAGGGGCCTGGGTGCGCTCCGAGCCGCCGTTGGCAGCCTGGGCCCGTGTGCCCAAGCCCCCAGGGCCACTGTCCTCGGGGGCCCCCTCTTCTGGCCGGGGTAGCTCCAGACTGTCACTGTCATAGCAGCCTGAGCTCTGGGATGCAGCGGGGACACGGCTGGAGGCCCTGGGGTGGGGTGGACCAGACGGTGAGGAGTGAGGGGCACCAGGTCTGCCCAAAGTCTCCATGCCACTCCTACCGAGGGCAACCCCCCCCGCCCTACTTTCCAAGAGCCCCCTTCCAAGAGTGTGGAAAGGCAGACGGAGGTGACCCAAGGAGTATGGGGAAAGGAGAAGGAGCCAAGGCCCCAGATGGGCCAGCCATCCAGGGGGCCGGTGGATCTTTCCAGGGTGAGGGTGGGCTGTGTGGGACGGGCCAGGCCCGAGGCTTACCCTGTGCTGGGAGAGGAGCCATGCCTCGACACGGCGTATGTGCTAGGCATGGCCGGGCCCGCGTGGTGTTCTCGCTGTGGGCCCCCAGAGCGGGAGGGAAAGGCGGGGGATGGGGGGGGAGCAGAGGAGTTAAGAGGATGAGAAGGAGCAGGAGAAACAGGGCACAAGATGGAGAGAAGAGAGGAGGGAGAGGAGAGAGAAGGAAAAAAGTTGGGAAAGATGGACAAATAGACAGACAGACGGCCCAGAAAGGCAGGCTCACCACCCCCCTCCCCACACCCACCCAGCACCCCAGACCCCGGCTCGTGGTTCCTGGGCTCTCAGTTGGGCAGAGAAGGGCCCCCGAGCACCAGGGCGGCTGGATCGCACCTCACTGGCTCACAGCCTCAGGGGCCCTTCTGCCCAACCGGAGGGGCACCCCTGTTCCTGGACCCCTCCTTCAGGCCTGGAGTCTGCTCGTGGGGAAGAGCCCAAGAAGGGAAGCATGGAGCATAACAGGGGGACGCCAGGCCGTGTGCGCGGTGGGACTGGAGGGGGCAGGTGGGCGCTCACCATTCTGCCAGGGCCCCGGGTACCGGGCCCAGCGCCACTTCCTCCCCCTCCGCGGCCCAGGCTGGCGCTCGGGGTGCTGCCACAGCTGCTGCTGATGACCTGCAGCTGCCGCTCGGCGCGGTCCGCGCGCTCCAGCAGCTCCTCGATGAACTGCTGCAGCCGCAGCTTGGCGCTGGCCTCCCGCGCCGCCGTCTCCTTCAGGAACTGGTCGATCTGCACCACCTCCCTGGGCCCGGAGCAGTCTCTCAGCCCCGTGCCTCGGCCTGGCTGCCCGCCCACCCTCTGGAGGAGACCCCGAGCGGGAGGGAGAGACACGGGCACAGCTGCCCGCGCTGTCTGCTCACGCTCACGCGGCTGCCCGCTGATGTACAGGCCTGGGCACAAGGCCCCCTCCGCCAAGGCACACACAGAAATGCAACCATATACCCACCCCGAGTCACATACTCATGCCCCACTGACCCAGCCCCGACGCTCCTGCCAGGCGCCCCTACTCCCCACGGAAACACTCTGTCATACGCAGTCACACTCAGAGCCGCCTCCTCCGTCCGGATACACTCTTGGGCACACAGCCACACACACTCACGTACACGTGCTCCTGTCATGTTCACTTGCAGGCATACACGCAGTGTGAGCCAGGTACAGTACCGCTCACACATTCCAACACACACACACTTTCAGAAACATTCTCAGATGCAGAAGGCTCGGGCAAGTACACACAGCACACTTCAGAGTCACTTGAGCATTTACTCCCAAGTGTATTCACATTCAACATTCACTGAGCACCTTCCAGGTGTCAGGCACTGTTCTAGGTATTTAGGGATACAGCTGTGGACAGACTGAGAAGAGCTCCTGCCCCCATGGGGCTTATATCACAATGGGGGGTAGATAAATACCATCCATATATTTTACCATTCTACATTTAAAGACAAGGGAAATAGGAAGCCAGCAAAGAACACTGAGAAGGAGCAGACAAAAAGGAGAGTATCCTGGAAGCCCAGTGAAGAAAGTGTTTCAGGGATCAGCTGTGTCAAATGCTGCTGATAGGCTGAGGTGTTGATGAGTGGGCCTCGGCGACATGAAGATCGTTGGTGACGCGGAGGACAGTGGTGGTGGTGGACATCTATCTGATCAGAGGGAATTCAAGAGAGAAAGTGGAGAAGGAAATTGGAGACAAGGAGTATACATTTTCAAGGAGTTGTTCTGAAAGGAGAGAAAAGGGGCAGTAGCCCAAGGGGGCACTGGGGTTACGGTGGATGGGAGAAACGCCCTCCTGTTTGGTCGCTTTCAGGAATGATACAGTTGGGGCACCTGGGTGGCTCAGTTGTTAAGCATCTGCCTTC